AAATTTATTGATCCAATTAATTTATATTTCTTCTGTGTAAGAATCAAGAAGAATACCATAGTGTATATTATCAACAAACTATATAGTATTAATCTACGAGACACGAAACTTCGTCAATGATGGACTGAAGATTTAGAAACAAACTCTAAAGTCCAAAGTCTTCAGATCAAGCAAGACTAAAACATAATACATAAAATGCAAGCTTGACATGTATTTTAACAAAATAACAAAGAATATAATTAAATGAATAAAATTTCTTTCTTTTAATTCAAAATTTTAAATTTAAATCCTAAATATGAATACGGTTGAAAACTCAAAGAAAGTGTGGTACCTTGAGTCATATATTGCTGTAGACGTGGGATTGAAATCCTATATTGATTGTTCAAAGAAGAGATCCCAAAATAAAATAAAGCAATTGTTAAGTTTAATATTCAAGGAATATATGTTGGATTAGTCAACTCAAGTCCAAATTATTTAGACTAACTCAAGAATATAAATATAATAAAATAATAACTGATATGCATTACTCAAGGCCAAATTGTTCATTCAAAAAATTGTTGCAAAACTAAAATAAAATATAGACCAAAAGGAGAATACTTTATTGATAAATATCTCTTTTTTGTATTTTTTTTTATCGATCTCAATTTAGATGATATCATTTAACTAGACACGAAATTTAAAAAAAATAAAAATTTATAATTTAAATCAAATCTTAAATATTTGTATAACAATAAGTTATTCAATTTAAATTAAAGTTAGATTTTAAAATTAATTTATTTTTAAATATAAAACATCCAAATTAATTAATTAAAGCTAGTGGTGCAAAGGTGACCATGCAAAACTCACTGGGTCAAGTCTTTAATTAAAAAAATTAGTGGAAAAAGTCATAGATTATATATATTTTTTAAAATTACTAAAGTGCCACCATAAAGAGAAAAACACCAAAGGCTCCATTAGGATTCAAAGTTTTGGAGTTATTATTTGAAATAATTGTTTATTAAGTTGATTTCATTATATTTATACTAAATTTAAAATACATAATTTCAAATTTCATAAATAATTTTAACGAGTTTTTGTAAAGAATCTAGTCACTTAAAATTTTTTAGCTTTATTTTCATACTTGAAGTCAAACTTTTAAATATCATTTCAATTTGAATCTTAAGTTTTTCTTTTCAAATATCAATCAAATTTGAATTAAATTTGTACCATATTTGGTCGAGGATATTAGGTAAAACTAAAATAAAGTTATATATACTATAATTATTAATTATCCTACTTGCTCAAAGTTGGCAAATATAATTTTGAGTTTGCAATCATCACTACTAATAAGCAAAATTTTGTATTTGTAAAAATGGAGTACTATTTAGTTAGCAAAAAGAATAATAACATAATTGTTATACTAGTGTCTAAAATATAATTGAGAGAAAGTTCTGGTCCTAGTTGCTATTTGTCTACGTAAGTATTGAAATATTTTTATAATAACGGGTGGTAAAATTTAAAATTCAATATCTTTATCTACTTTTATATTATATTGAAATGAATAAATATCTTATGTAAGAACTTAAACTAATAGAGAAAAAATAAATAAGTGATATTCATATGTTCTATCGAGACAAGTTCTTACTTCGAACGTCTAAATAAAATTTACGATCAAATGTAAATGAATTGTCTACTCATTTGTTGAACAAAGTAGGTGGGACCACCACGTAAATTCCAACTCTATAAAGCACTTTTTCTTTTGCAACTTTTCCTCTTTGAGTGATGCTTTTTCTTCGCTAATAATCATGTTATTGATTATTATTTTCTCTGTTTTAAAATAAATAATATTTTCAATTTGAACATATAATTATATTTTAAAGAAAAATATGAGAAAGATCGATTAAATGAGATATTTTTAACGTGTTTTTTGTGGTTGTCCTGATGGTGATGGTGATGGCGATGGTGATGGTGATTGAAGAATGGTCTGAAATGATATTTTTGAGAGTATAGTGAATTAATTGGTGTGATGATGTTTGATTTAAATTAAGGAAAACGGATGGTAGTTGAGAAAATTCAAATTAAATTTATTGATTGATTGATTTTACTTTTCTTAATTACCATCTAATCATTCATCTAAGTCAATCACTTCATTCTCTAAATACTACTTGAAGATAACACTACTTCATTCCGACAACAATCATAGAAATTTTTTTTTACAAAAATCATCTTATTCAAGCATCGATTTTTGTCACACCTTCCTCTATCACTCACAATTTTATTTATATCATAAGAGCATCGGTCATCAACCATCATAACCATATTTTGCTACAATAGTGTGCGATTAGGTTCGTTTCACCATTAGAATATTGATATAGAGATCCATCACTATTTATGATCTAAGAAGGACCGGTTTTGAAACTATGTTGATGGAGTTTCAATAGAGATAAAAATTTGCATTGGTGATCTTCTCAATTACGATATACCAAATAGTAGATAAGAAATAATTTTAATATTATTAATACATTCTATTTAGTACTCCTTCCGTTAATTCTCACTTATCCACTATGGAGTATTATTTTTGGGATATCCAACAATATTTGTCTAATTTTATAAAATCAATAAATAATTATCATTTTGTGTCTATTTATCCTTGCAATTAAATACTTTTTTTTTCTATATTTGAATGACTTATAATTAATCAGAGTGATACAAAAAAGGAGAAAATTGTATGAAATAACAAACTATTAATTCAAATTAAATGATATAGCCATAGTTTCTTTTATTTGTAATTCGCAACAAACATTCCATGTTTTTTGTCATCTGGCAAAACCCATTCAGTATACATATGTGTTGTATATATGTAGTAATTTTGTTTATATACAATTACTATGTTTTAGTTTGTATACCGAAATATACAAATAGACCTATTCGGTATACATATGTGTTGGATATACGTAGTAATTTTGTTTATATACAATTATTATGTTTTAGTTTGTACAAATACATATTTTTATGTATACGTATACCGAAATATACAAATTAATAGCCATAGCAAACATAAAGTTTGATATGGAGCGCAATTATCACGCCTCTATTTATTTTTTTAAAATATATTAAATCAATTATAAATAAATAAAAATAAACAGAAAAAATATTATTCATATATACTCTATTAAATGACCCCTGTCCCAAAAAAAAGAAAGTGAAAGTAATTGTAAGGTTTTTATCGATGTTGAAGTGCTAAATCATTAAAAGAACAAATATTATAGATACTTTATAATTCAAGTCGTAATCAACAAATGCTTATGCTTTGTCTACAATTTATACAATATATTTTTAAAATCTAAATAACTATATACATCAATTTAATTTTGTCAATTAGTTGTTCAACTAACGTATACCAGTCATTGAAAATGAAAGAAATTAAAAGAGCGTTATTTATGACTTTTAGTTTGGGACTACTTTATGACAGGGAATAAAGTCTTATATATATTATTATTTTATATATATAAGTGTCAAATCAACGCGTTGAATTGATTTGAATTATGGGTGTGCATCGGTCGATTTGATTTGATTTTATATATTTATTAATTTGATTTATAAGTTTTAGTTTTTTAATACGCTAAATCAATAAGATAATTTTTATCAATTTTTGTCCTTAACGGTTCAATTTTCGATTTAACCAATAAGAAAATGTTTATAAAACAAATATATAACTTTTCTAATAAATTTGATGTGACAAGACAATAATATAACTTTACAAATGTTCATAAAGACAAAGGCATAAAACATAAACATGATCATTAACTTGGCGTCAGCTGACAACTATGACCTTTAACTTTGGGTGTGCACAAGTAGACACTTAAATTTGTGCACACTCAAAGTTGATGATCATATTTATCCACTGAAGTCAAGTTAAGGGTCGTGTTTATGTATTATTCCTAAAGACAAATATGTCATCGAACTTTGAAAAAAGGGCTCATCTATTTTATCCGTTAAAAATTTATCTCATCTATGCTATTTTCGTTTGAGAAAAGACTCATTTATGTAATTATTTGTAAACTAAAAGTATTTCCCGTTTTGCAAACTAATAAATAAACAATTCACTCAAATTTAAATAAATTGAACAAATTATATTTTTGTGAGCAAAAAATGGTCAGGAATCTACGTGCTGACAAATTTGTTGTATTCTTTATTAAACGTCAGCAGCCATTTAAATCTTTTGAATTCATTTAAATGCTTTGGAAACTGAAAAGTTGACTCAACCTGTCAACCGTTTATTTTGTAAAGAATATTTGAAATAATAGGAGTATTATATAAAATATAATTTTAAAAGTAAAAAATAAATTGCAAAATAAAAGAACTATTCTGTAAATTTAGGTAACGTAATTTGAATTAGTCATTTCTTGTTAGGTTGGAACTTGGAATTGGCAACAAACTTTGACGTTGTCATTTAATTTGTTCATGTTTATTTTAAAAATAAATTGTGCATCTGTAATTATTTCAGTATAATTTTAGATATTAAATTTGAAATTAGTCTTGATAAAATTTAATTTGGGTATGAAGTTTCATATAGTTGAAAATCAGACATATATTACGTCAATTATTTTATGTTTAAATGTTTATGAGCATGATTGATGTTCAAATAAAATGGTTGAAATCATAAAAAAAACAATTGAACTTCAATCATATATAGCTGAAATTCAAACAAAAATGATTGAAGTCCAACCATTTTTATCTACCTTTTAAACAGAAATACGTGAACTTCACTTAGATATGATGTAAAATTTCAAGACAATAGGGGCATATCTAGAGAAAGTGGTGTAACAAAGAATTTTTTGTAATCACTTTTGTGTACATGTAAGATGTAACAAAATACAATCTAGCAAATGACCAAATATTTGAACAAATTAAAGGAGTAGGGTATTTTATGAATCAAAAATCATTTACATCAATCTAGTGGAATTGATGTCTCTGAATTTAAAAATAAAAAGTTACTTGATCTCGAAAAATATCTTCATTTTTAACCCTAAAATTTAAACAAGGGAGTTGTTTTCTTTAACTTGTCCATTCTTCCCAGCTAGAAGCGGTGCAGTGGTATCTTTCTCTTTAACCTGACATGACAATAAAAACGTAAGTTTAGAGTGAATAAGGTACAACGATTTTTTGCACAAAGTACAACTATTTTTTGCACAAAGTACAACATCCTTCAAACCACCAGAAGAAGGATAAATGGAGAGAAATCGGGCAAATTTTACAATTTGTCACTTTACAGGTCATGTAATTAAAAAAATAGACACTATCATGGGGTTTCAAATTATTTCAAGTGAGAGTCAGACATTATCACAAAGTTTCACCTATTAAATTTAAAACTTCCAGGTGTAGTGTAACTTTAGCATGAACAAGGTTCAATGATTTATTGCACGAAGTATAAATATCCTTCAAACCGTCGCGAGGAGAAGAAATGTAGAGAAAATCAGGTAACATTTACAAAATAGCCACTTTGCAGCCCATGTAGTTGCAAAAAAAGCCACATCATTGAAATTTCAAATTTCACATATGAAACTCATTGGAAACCGTGTAGTTGAAAAAATGCCACTATTATCGAATTTCAAATTTCACAGATGAAACTCATGAATAGTCATGGAGTTTCATTTACGGAATTTAACACTACATGAATTGGTTATTTTTTAAATAAGGTTGAAAAGTGATCAGTGAACGCTATTTCTACGAAAAAAAACTTACTTGGGCAATGGAAGAGTGGTCTCCAACTTGTTTCCTTTTTGTTTCATGGACACAAAAATAGGAATATAATCCCATTCCAATAATGGCCACAAGAATTCCAACAATGTTTCTTGAAGTGAAAGGATCATGTAACAATGTATAGCCAAATCCAAGAACCAAACATGTCTTAAGGTGGCCCAACACTTGATATGTAACTGGTGATGTCTTTCCAATAACTAAAAATGTACTGAAATTCACTGATACAGCAATCAAACATGATAACACTATAAATCCCTACATTTGAGAAGACAAAAATGCAAAAAAGTTAGTGTACGAACGAGATATCCAGCAATAAGAGAGGAAATCCCGAGTACTTGGTCATGATCTCAGATCTATCGAAGGTAGATCGAGGCGAATCTTGAATTTAGATTAATAAATCTGATAATAAGCGTTATTTCAATATTTTTACACTATAACAATCCAAAGTGTCCCATTTTTTTTTAAAAAATAACCCAAATAAATTTAGCTAGTATAATCACTATATAATATGTGTATATACACTAAATGTATTTGATATACAAATGTTATACATTGTATATACATGTCTGCTTCAAAAGGTTTCGACTAAGCTCATATAAATAGTTCTAGTAGGAATTTGGACATGAACTGAGTGGTATATGAAAAAAAAAATAGTATTTCAAATTGAATATGAAAAATGTCATTTAAACGTTGAACTTGTGTTTGGACATGCATTTCAAATTTGAATTACTCATCTTCAACAACTAACCAAAAAAATCATTCTAATGTATAACCAAAAAATATTTTTTTTGTTAAAAAAAGAGTAAAAAAATGTGAATAGTTTTTTCTTACCACAACAATAGGAGAATATTTGTAGGCAAAAACACTTTGTTTGGTGAGGAATTGATCCACCACAGGCCCACTAACAAATAGTATAGCTGCTTGAAATGGGGCTGATTGATACAATAATTGTGTAGATGAGATGTTGAGCCTCTTTTGAATTGTGTTTGTAAGCTAAATTGGAGAGTTAAGGTCAAATTATGAAGAATAAAAAACACAAAAATGTTACTTATAATAAGCAAATTTGTACTATATAATATAAATTCATGAAATTTGTAACCTGAAAAATAAGATAGATCGAAATATCTTACAGTATATACATAACAATTCAGAACCTAATAAACAAAGAAGTTATGATTCCAAACTCATACTAAAAATCCCGAATCAACACCTGTCAGTATATATATATATAATCCAGATAAATATTTGAGACAAGTAGAGATATATCATCAAAAGGATACAATTTGTCCAACACAAGTTGTAACAATGGCCAGAAGGGAGAGAATTGTTCCAACAAAATTGAGTTGAAGATCAGTAATGGAAGCAATGCCAACTCCAATAAGTAGAATGAATAATGCAAATTTAATATTTTGGCTGCAAATAAGTAAAAAAAATAAAATTATTAATGAACCAAAAAGAGTACTAATTTTTAGTTTTTTTTTTATTAGTGGAAATTAAAATATAGAATAATGGATTTAATTTACCTGAATTGTTTTTTCAAGAAAAGGGTTTCAACTAATACTGTAAAAGGTATAATTGCAAGCTTTGTCATCTGCAAACACAACATAATAATCATACAAAGAAATGTTAGGCCTTATTTTTATGTTTCTTGCAACTTATGAAACTTTTCGATTATCAGTTAAAGATTTTTTTTTGAGTAAACGGAAAGCCTTATAAAAAGAGTGATCAATGGTATAAAATTTACCAAGTTATTGCAAAAATTAGACGGTAGTCTAATATTTTATTTGTAAGATTGAATAATATATGAGCAAATATAAGATCCAAATCTAATATTATTCAGAAGTGCAATTTTTCATAAATGTTATATTTTCCCAACATAAAAACATACAAAGACATTGGGGACCTTATTTATAAGTATTGGCCAAATTTAAACAATCTGATGTTTTATAGGTAAGGTTGAATAATATATAAGAAAATATCATCTCGAATCTAACATTTTTTAGAAGCATAATTTTTCAAAAAGGTCTATATTTGCACAACTTCAAAATAAAGACAAAATCTATTTAGTAACTTTTTTAAAAGATACTCCCTCCGTCCACAATTGTTTGGCAGGTATACTAAAAATAGATGTCCAAGATTAATTGTCAATTTAAACAATCAAGAAATAATTAGTCACTTTTTTCCAATTATGCCCTTAATGATTGTGTAGTTCAATTGAAAAGTTATGCGGACTTTTGGTACTCTTGATATAGTAGGGTTATATTAGTCAAATTACACCTTGTATTAAATTTTCCTTGAGGGATGTGCATGACCTTACCCTGACAAACAATTGTGGACGGAGGGAGTATTTGCGTAAATTACCGTTATGACCAGCTATATTTGACCTATCAATACTTTGGACAGAATGGAGGTGAATCATTTATTGATTCTATTATTTTAACCTGTTCAAATTTAACCAGACATGTTTATTTAAATAAATGTAACTATATTATAGTTTATATTATACCTGGTAGAAGCCAATGGAATTAAATCCAAGGCTAAGGTTGAGAAAGCCAATAGATACACCATTTAATATGCCAAAGAGCATGACAGTCTTTATGTCAATGGGCTTATTCTCAAAGAAATTGAATTTGAGTGCCACATGAAGTGTGCAATAAGTGACCATCAAATGCCAACTTGTTAATGTTGTGGCTAAAATAATAACAAAAAAAAACATTACTAATCAATGAAAAATAAATAAATAAATAAATGATACTGAATATGTATGAATATTAGCATTTTTAGTTCCTCAAATATCGACAAATTCTATTGTTGATTCTTGTGATTTCTGATTTAACAAATTAAACTATGTTGCTAGAACTTTTCAAAAATAGCGACGTACATGTGTCAAATCCTCAAAAGATGTACTACTTTTGTAGGATTACGATATACACCATCGTCATTCTTGAAAAGATCGAGCAACATAACATTTAGCATTCTCTTAGTTGACAAGATCGGGTGCATTTTTCATCCCTCAAACTCACTAATTTAACAAATTATTAAGTTCTAAATCATTCAACTAAAGATGTTTTATAATTCTAAAAATACTCTAGATTTCACAAAGAGATTCAAAACACACATTTCAGTTGATTGATTAACTAAACATGTTTAATTAAATATTATTTCATTGATAACCGAGGAACAAAAAGTGCAATTATCCCATTTTAAATAACACAACTAACCTTTTAGGTATGCCAACTAATATTTGTTTTATATATCATAAGATTATACATTTTTTTTTTATTGATAAAAAATTTCTACCAAATGCTTGAAGTGCAAGTGAGAGGAAAATGAAATATCACCAAAGGGGGAAACCAAGATTAATCATCAAGGCTTTGTTGCCAATAACAAATTAGTAAGTTCTAAATCAATCAATTATCGACGTATTATGTTAAATTGACGTTGTTAATTCATATTTGAAGATGATATAATTTTTAAAAATACTCCAAAATGTCATATATTTCCTATATGAAGAGATCAAATACACATATTTCAGTTAATTAAAGGTTAAATAGATGCGCGTTTAGCTAAATATTACAAGGACTAAAACTAAAATTCATCAATTATCCCATTTTAGAGATTTCAACTAACTTCTTAGGTATGCAACAACTAAGATATGTTTTATATTTTCATGTTATTTTATTGAAAGTTTGGTGAGTACTATGATAAAATTATATATTTTTAATTAAATAAATATTACAATAAAACAACAATAAAATATTTGGTGAATGAGACAATGTGGAGTCTGATGAAATAAAGTGTATACATATCTTATTTTTATTTTGAAGAGGTAGACAAATTGTTTCCGTTACAGTAACCTTGACACAAGTAAAGTATTTTCATAGCAATTTTGAAAAGGAAAATATATACGATAGTAAAGAAGACATGACAACTTAACATGTAACAACATCTAAATAGTGCAGTAATCTAAACACAAAAAAACAACACATAATAACTAGATATCGAAAAACCAAAAGCTATATAGGGATAACTGATAATGTTAATACTACTGGTATGAAAGGAGAAATCGAAACGATAAATAGAGTGCTTTATTAAATAAAAATGAATATGAAATATTACCAAAAGGAAAACCAAGATTACTCATCAAGGCTTTATTGCAAATAACAATGGAAACTGATGATGCCACTGATAAAAACAATGCTCCCACCACACCCAACTGAAAACTTGTCATTTCTCCCATCTTCATCAACCATAAAAAAAAAAATCAGAAAGAAAAAAATTGGACAATTTATAATTTATCATACTCTAAAAAAAACTATATGATAATATAATCTAGTAAAAATCACCATCGAGGGTTATGGTGAGATGTAGGAGATCTATCTGTTCTAATTAGTCAGAACTCTCGAGTTCTAGCTAGCCGCTTGTAGGAATGAAAAAATCTATGTTAGGAGTGTTTCCTTTATAAATGAGTCATACAGACGTGAATTTGAATTAATCGAGTGGTTTTCAGATACTTGATGACCGATATTTCTAGGTCTTAATTAGGTTTATACTAATTATAAAGGTGAATGAACCTAAATGATCTAATGGAATCATAATATAAAAACAAGAACATGAACTTGTGAAACTTATATAAGCTAATAACTTAATGTCTGCAAAAATTTTTTATAAAAACTTTTGTATATCTAAGCACACAATGACAAACTACTAAAAGAATTTGAAATTTTCGATGAAATTCATCAGAAATTGGCTCGTTGAAAATATTTTAATTGGACTTTTCGTCTGAAATTCAATATTTTTTAATGACTTTATAAATTTTCAATTTCTGTCATACCAATAGAAAAAACAAAAACAACAACATGAAATTGAAAAAAAAATGTAATTAATTACCTCTTCAAAATTGTGATGATGTTTGATTATACAACAAAAAATTGAAGAAATAGAATGAGATTTTTTTTTTCTTTTGTTGGGTGTGGAGTTGAATGAAAATATATTGGTGCTATATATATATTAGTTAATTTTAGATGTGTGTTTGGTTTTCAAAGGCCTAACGGTTTTTATAAGCAAAGCAATTATTATTTGACTAACTTTAGGTTAACAAATCAATATTTTACTACTAATCTACTATGTTTTAAGGGATCTTAATATTTTTAATCAGACAAATAATTTTTTTGTATATACGTAATCGTAATAGTTTGTAAAAGAAATAAAAAGATTAGAGTTATTTTATGTTAGTGAACTTTGTTGGGGTTGTTGCGTAGTGTAAAAGTCTCATTTTTTTTTAATAATAATGATTTTCAAGTCAGTTTATATGTATTTTGAGATTAATTTGCCACGAATAGCAACTTTTGTGGTACGTTATTTAGAAAATGACTGTTTTTTAAAATTAGAACAGTCCTCACCTAGTATGAAGTTAAAAATATAAAGTTAATACTCATATTTCAGATTATTGTGTCTAATTTTTGAAAAAAACGTTCAATATAACGTACAAAAAATAATATATTACCTGGTATAAATATGTCTATACTTCAATTATTTTATTAGATATTTGCTCCCACCATGGACAAAATATTTCTGTCCATCAAAGTTTAGACATATATTAATTCAACAAAAATCCCTTTCAAATTAATCCTAAGATACTGGACTAACCATTCACACAACAAAACAATATTTAAAAAATATATATATTATGAATAAAGGTTATGCATGTATTAATTAGTACTTTTTTTTCTTTTCCCATTTTTAATTTTTTACAACTAATACATGTATTAGCCTTTACTTAACCTCTAAATAGATCTCCTAACAAGAAACTTTATACAATTAACATGTCAATGACATGGTTTTATTTTTATTACATTAACCTAACAATGAATTAATTAAATATGAAGTTTAATTGGTCCAAAATTAAATAACCCTCAATTATTTTTTCCTTTTTATAATTACACTGAGAGAGCGAGTGATATTTTATTTTTAAAAAATTGTTGGCTCACCTAATTAGGAAATAAATAAATAAGTCTGAATTTAGAAGCCAGAAAGGTGAAATGAACATTTCAATAATATGTGACAACGTACCTGCCAATACAATGTGTTTGGTGAGAATAATAAGACTTTAATTTTACTCCAAATATGACAAATATCCAACCATGGGTGGGTCGGATATTTTATCTGTTTTTGTTTAACTCGTTTTCGATTTACTTATATTCAATCTGACTTGCTTGTTTATTACTCCTATCTAAAACTAAAGCTCATTAGCAAAAAAAGAAAAAAAATATTCTTTTTCCGTGTCTTCTTGAGCCAAAGGTCTGTCGAAAATAACCTCTGTATGAGTTAGGCTGCATACATACCACCCTTCCGACTTATCAAACCCTACCTATAGAATTACATTTGACTTGTTGTTATTGTTGTTACTCCACTAATTAAATTTGGAAAAATGCTACATGATAATAATAAAACAAAAAAAGTTCTACCTACACGTTTATACATTATATATTGATTATACACTTATTAGTTATTATACACATATTTATATATTGAGTATATATCGACGATAACTACATATGGTTACGAAAGGTGTGTGAATTATTATTTTTATTCCGTCCAACTAAAAATATTAAGTAAGATCTTAATATAAAAGAAGTACAACTTGTATACTCTGTTGATGTGATTGATTTACGTCCATAATTATTGTCTTAATAATTTTAATCATGCTTTCTAACATCTAGGATTAGTATATTAAGCTGTCAATTTCTTTAATTAAAGAATATTTATTACTTAACCATTTCTTTAATTTTTCATAGTTTAGACTAATATAACTAAAATATTTTTTGTTCGAGGTCCAACATAATGCAAAGATTAGTGTATGATTTGGTCATGTGTTAGGTAGACATCCGTGAATTAGCTTCTGAGGTTGAGTAGACTCAATTTAACAATAGAATATTTATGAGAAGCTTCTTTTAATTTCTTTGTTTCAAATTTGTGAAGAACTCCGTCATTACGATATGTCGATAATAGTGGTGAAACCAGGAAATTATAACATATTTTGAAATGTTACTCATGGAAATTACCTCCTTTTATCATAAAACTAGAAGCATTTCTTACGTTAATGGGAATCATAGTTTAAAAATAAATGATTTTTTTTAATGACCGTAGTTTCTGGACCAACTTTCGCGCACTCGACTAATTCCGCAAAATACCTGACACATCCCACCATCAACATGTGCTAATTAAAAATAAACAATTTTTTTAACCCTATTTGTGCTAATTATTTCTCAACGAAGGGGATTCAGTTAACTCTAGACACTTCTACATGGAATTGACGGATTGGTTGAAGGAGAACCTAGAATTCAAAAGGGCCAATGAAATGGCCACAAAAGCCTTGTATTTAAGTGGAAAAGGATAAAGAAACGTGCTCATTATCCATCGAGTTTCAAACCGTCTGCTACTGGCCCTCAGAGATTTCTCAATTATTCCAAAAAACAAGAATTAAATGCAGAAAAAACATTGACTATAAACCTTGTGTATCATCTATATGCACCAGAAAACTTCCAATATCTAATGGTTTTAGCATTCACTAGCTACATAGAATTTCACTACACTAATATTGAAATGAAAAGATCATAAAAAGAACAGATACTCAGAAAAAAGAATAGGCAACACCACCTAGAAACCGAAAAAAAGGAGAGAAAATAGGCGAAAGAAGCAATGTACAAGACGTTTTGGAGGCGTGTTATACTCGAGTTTTTCCATGCTGGGCAAAATACGCTTTATCTGCATTCGATAAACGATCTTGGAACATTGCCCATTCGTTTCTACATCTCTCTCTTACCTAGAAAGAGAAAGCAATTCACTAACAGGAGGCAAATGAATATCATATTTAAAATAAAATTGGAGTGAAGGAATCGATATGCTTACCCCTTCCCACGGAGCTTTGCCATTCACGGGCTGACCCTGTGATCCAAGAAGTCGAGAACAGTGTCAAAAATGAAGCAGGTACAGCAAATATAAATGAGTATATGCCAGTCACGTTACCAAAGAAACGAGAACTACGTGTAACCATAACAAAGAAATAGCAAATATAAGTATACAACTCAAGAAATAACCTAGCGGGAGCTTCAAGCTCTCGTTACATATAGGATTAAACTTGTACCAAAAGCAGCATTCTTTCTCTCAGTTAGCCCCTAAGTCATATTCCGCCAGAAAGACAAGAAGCAATATTTATCAAATTTAAAGCAGAAGTGACGATGATATATCTTTTTAACCTAAGTCTAGGACTAACAAGTAGTAAGGGATCAAAATGAAATGGTTTTCAAATTTTACTTGTCAAAGGAAAAAAGAAGTGGGATAAGGTTTTTGGCTTTATTCGTTTGAATTCGACTGCTATTATTGCTAATGAACACTGGGCTTCAATCCGCATTATCTCAAGGACTCAGAAAGGTGAATGCTTAGGATGGCTATTCCTATTAGAGGGGGCGGCAAGTGATTGAAGCCTCGGTAATCAGAGAAGGGAACTGGTCAGAAAGATAAATGCAGTCATACAGATATTATCCTTTCAAAGAGCCAGAGAATTTGAATTCACAAAACTTTAGTTCATAATCAACTTGGACAGGATGATACTAGTTGCTTAAATTACGGAAATGTAATTGACAAACTATTAATCTGTATTCTAGTAACTGCCATAGGTTCCTTGAAGTTTCAATTGACTAACCTGATTCCCAAGAGAAGGAATAACTTGATGCACAATCCACTGTGAATCTACCACACCAATTTTTTCATGAGCAGGCTGCGCCAAAGCATTAACATTAAGATTATATTAAAGGGTCCACCATACTTTAGATCAATAAAAGACTCATAAAAGAGTGAAGAAGACTATTAATTTCCATGTCTCCGGTGTTATCAATGTTCTCCAGGTTCAGCTCTCCCTCTTTTACAATTTTACCATGGGAGGAGAACTACTAACCTCTACACATCTTCTTAGTGCAAAATCCAATCCCCATCCATGCACCAAATCATTCTATAACCAAAAATCAAGTCAAAGTACAAGCATCAGTGTAACGTTATAGAAATGGACACTGTTGAGGAGATGGAAGTGATACCAAGTGTAGGAACTACCTGAATCAAATGCCAAACACATCGCCAAGCTTCTCGAGAGAATACAGGAGCCATTATTTCCACAAAACTGTATATAAAAAGATAGACCAAGATATTAACTATAAGTTGCACGATAATAATAAAAGGCATTGGAATATTCTGTTGCTGATGAGTCTTGTTTAATCAATTTTCAAAAAGGAAAAATTCTACATGCAACTCGATTAGATCATATTGTATATCTCAGTGCTACACAGCAGAATTAGGACGTCTAGTCATACTCAGGAAAAGATCTTATCTAAATTTCAATCTAACATCTTGTGAAACACATAAAAAAAGGTACAGCCAATGGCATGCTGTTCTACTCGTAAAGTGAAAAATTTCTTTCTAGAATAACATAAAAAGAGTAAAAATGACTTAAGCAGTCTTTAGACTAAAGAAGAGCTAGTCCAATAATAACCAAACAATATAAAATCTTGGACCCTGCCCCTCCATCCCCACAACAAAAAGAGGAATGACAAAATGATAGGACTAGAGCATAAAATCCAGATGCAACTTAAAATACTAGCGGATTAAATACCCAACACAAGACTAGACACGTCAGTCAGCATTTAAAAAAAAAAGAGGGATACATCAGTCTGCTATTAGATCTACTCTTGCTTGATGAAGCACAAAGTTGCATATCATTGCCTGTCAGGATAACATATCTTAACCATGTGAAAAATGCTCAATAGTGCTTCGTTACTACCTTAGCTGGAGGAAATATAGCTTGATGGAAGTGCATAGCCTTACCAAAGCTGAGGTTGGGGGTTCAAGACCGTCTTTTTGCTCTTGGCTTCATGTAAAAGGTCAAATAATTCATTGTGATTTAGGCAAGTAAATAGTTAGGCTCACTCTAGTTGAAGATGCACTAAACAAGTTCCACTTTAATGATGTTGCTAAGACTAGCTGGACCGGAGAGAAGCTAAGAAATACGTGCTTAGTAATACTAATGATGGAAGTGAAACTCACTAAAGCACATGTTTAGTCTTAAAGTTACATACCGTCTCAAAAGAAAGATAATATAGGTATATTACTTGAGTTCTGATTTAGATCAATATTGCTGAACATTAATCTATTTTAGTATGTGCATATTTTCAGAAAAGAGCAAAACCAAGCTAATAATGTTATGAGCACACAATTGAGGGGTAGACACGCCAAATTGTACCCAGCGGTTTGCATACATTAGATAGAGATAGAGAGAGAGAGAGAGGGAGGGAGGGAGTACGCTGCACAAGGAGGCAAATGTGGATCACTGCACCAGCCTGGTTTCTCTTCTGTATCCCTGTTTACCACCAACACATGTTAACTTTCAGAGTGGTTCCATCCAAATTAGGGACGAATATTATCAAAGATGAAGAGAAGTTCCCCCCTGTGTGTGTATGTTTATTTTTTGGTGGGGGGTTAAACACAATGAACATACTTGTGAACTTCTCTGTCACCCCTCCTCTTAGTCATCTGCCATGTGAGTCCATTGTTGGGTTCAAGACCAGGCTGAGAGATGTCTAGACCATGTTTCTTAACTAGTTGCATATATCTGCCATATTCAGGTGACGATATTCATATGGAAGAAGATTATAAAGACACCAAATACTTATTTTCTGATTGAAAAGAATGAGAAATCATGTGACAGAACAATGGAAAGACACCTACTTCTCTGCATTGAAGTGCTCAACTCCAAGATCTTCATCCCATATAAATATGTAATCATAGGCAGCTACAACATCTGGATGCAGAAACCTCTTTGCATACCACCTGTCATAGAAATTAATAACAAATTATGGATACAAAGGGATTGGATTTAACTTGTATACACTAACAAAATTAAAAACTTCTACACTGTCAATATATTTTAACCTGTTCTAACATGTAGCCTGTCTTACTTTTCAGGTTATGAAGACCACTTTTTATGCACAATTACATGTATTTATTTTTTGTGGCCTGATAGTGAAAATGGTTTCACACTATCAGTGTATATAAAGAATCAAGAGGATTAGTTATCGTATGCAAACAACAACATTCTCGTCATTTTACATGTTCCTATACATAGAGCCAAACACGCTAATAAAAAGGGACTTCCTGAATTAGTAAGAGTTCACTATCGCACATTATTCTTGAAATCTTGAATAAAAAACAGAAGAGTTGGAATACAAAAGGTAATAACTAAACTCAAAGTCTTACCATTTTGTCTGCTTCTTAACACTGATGTGAACTGCACGCTTGGACCATTCAAATTGATCCCACTCGGTTGTTCGACCATCATAATGGAAAAGCAAAATTTGGAAATCCTCTGAAAACTAATCCATGTATATATAAAATATAAGACTCAGTATATGGAATACAACGTCAACTGTCAAGAGAAAAGAGAAATAAACACTAAGCTCCATAATATCAATATAATATTTATTCGGTAGAATTGCTTCATTGCTGTCACCTTTTTAACAGCTGAGTCAATGTTGTACTTCTGATCCAAACCAACCGTAAATGTAACCAAGTACTTGGGCTTTTTTGTCAGATCCTGAAAATACCACAATTTTTCAACAAAACCATAGCCAGAAGAAGCACCAACTAAAAAAGACAATTTTGAATATTGAACACAGTCCCTTCTCAGCCTACGTTCTAGTCCAATCCGATAATGATTGGCCAGAAACTGACAGAAGTTCTACTAATGTATGTCAAAAAGTTGACACTAAGACACTGCAGGTCAGAACAGGCCATAGTACATAAAGTTGAACGCCAGTTCTAAAATGCACATATACTCCTCATGTTCAGTATCCAACTGCTTATTTTTTAAGGAGCACAAATAAGCTAAGTTGCGCGGACTCTTCACTTTCGATGCCGCACCCGTGTCGGATTCTCCAACAATACATCAGTTTTGGCGAATCCGACACGCACCACTTGACATTTTTGAAGAGTCCGAGCAACATAGCAAATAAGAAACCAAAACTGACTAAGAAGCACCATTGCAAACATTAAAGTATCTAACATAAAGTTTGTGCCATGAAGGGCAATGATATGATTACAAGAACAGCTCATGAAGAGCAAGACAGTTGCAGATTCTTTCTCTTAAGCAGACACAGTAAAAGGTTTCATAATCTATTCAACTACCACACATTCTTTTCTTTTTTGTTAAATCAGGTTAAACAATATCATAAGAGATATTTGATCCATACCTCACTTGGTTCACCCCACAACCTTCGCAAATAAAAATCTGATTCTGAGACCACAATCCCTGGTGGCAATGACTCCGCGCCGCGAGGATTTGATGGGACATATATCTGCAAAAAGGAAAGCAACCCATCAATATTTCAGAACAAATGTCTACGTGCTCCAGATCCTAAATCAAACCATGGCAGTTAGAATAAATATCCTACGCCATCTCCCAATGCAAAATAATCATGTACTAAGCATTTATGTCTCCAAACTTCTCTTTATTCTACAGGAAATTAGAAAAGCTTGTCACAAAGCAAACACAGAAAAGTTTGGCGGCTTCAGATATGAACCACACATACTACCATAACAATGCACCATTGACCCAGTAATACTCAATGTTTCTAGCTAATTTTATGCTACTACTCCCTCAATCCAAATTTCCATGACATAATTAAGTTTTGGAAACTAGGCTGACATTTGATAAGACAAAATGTTTCCCAATAAAAAGCAATTTCCTTTGAGAATGTTTTACAAAAGAAACCACCTTAATTCTATCTGTTATAATGGTAGATATGACTGTAGGTGGGGGAGAGATTACTGGTATTTAGTTCTATTCAGTTCTGGCTCAGACTAGACCAAGTCTCATAAACCCAAACAGTTCTTTGCCCAACTTTGTGTGGACCAAGAAAATGTGTATTCCATCTTTGAATATTCAAAATGATACTTAGCAAATAACAGGACTGGAATGAAAAGAACAGAACAACACACTAAATTGTCTTTATATGAGAGATTTTTTTTTTTGAGATTGTATATGAGAGATATATTACAAATACAGGAAATTATATGCAACAGGGACAAAGGGCCTTTAGTTTCATAGTAACTGTTTCTCCAACATAATGCTACCAGTACACTAAAAATAATGAAATTGGCCAGGGCATTTGGTCTTATACCTTTTATTGGTTTCGGGAGCTAAAACAACTGTATATGCCACAACACAACTCAGAAATAGCTAAAATTACCCCCATCCTCACCCTCCAACCACAAAATGGAGTTAAATGTTATTTCCTCCCACATGGAGTCCCTAAAGCTATTTCACCATACAAAATATAGTCATTATAACTTGTAATGATATTCCATCAATCAACAATGAAATAAATACCTTTGGTGTTAAAGGAGTACTACCAGAACCAAGATTCTCCGGGAAAGTACGCTCTATAGCACGTCTATGATCATCATTGAAGGCATAATCGAGAGTTGATATTAGGCTTGAAGGTAAATTAATCTGCAAATGACCCGAAGATTGTAATGAACGAAAAAATTGAATTGGTTTATACCACAAGAACCATGCAGGCATTGCGCTAACATACCTTAGTTAGAGAAACAGAAGGAAAAGAAATCCCAACAAAGTATCCAAACACCATTCCCATGATAGTGGTTATAACAAGTCTAGTACTATCATTTGATCTTTTGAAAGCCCCACTGCATCAATAGGAATAACAGAAAGAAGGTGATTTAAGCTAAATGTGTTAACGATAAGCTCAACTTTGAAATTCTTTAGAGAGACATGCAAATATTGCCTACAAACCTGCGGTAAGGGGTTCCCATTTTCACAAAAGTTGCTCAACTCAAAGGTCACACACTAGGCAGAAACCAATTCCTTGAGCATCCTCCAGTTTCAGAGAGCAAATTCACATGCCTGAAAGTTTAAATCCTATTAGTCATGGGACAATAAGTCACACATCACAATCACTCAAAAGAAAAAAGTCACACCCAACACCTAAATGATGTCACCTAATCTTTTAACCTGACATTGTGATCAATCGCTAGTAATGTCTTGGCAAAAAGTTCTATTAAAAAAATGTGGAATCTAATAGCACATGATCCATAACTATACAGCACACCGGGGAAAAAAAATTTGGACAACCATTCTCCCAAAAACTCAATCTCTCAATTCAATTTACTAACTAAAGACTCCAAACAAAACCAGCTAACGATCCTTATACTCTGGCTGGATAAAAGTTTTACAATAAAGACATATTTCCTTTCATAAGCAAGTTATGTTTCTGCTGAAACTTCAACAACATGAAAACAAAAACCTTTAACTTTAAAGTTACAATTTTTACACAACAACAACAACATACCCAGTGTAATCACACAAATGGGGTCTGGGAGGACCCTCCCATGTGTACACAACCTTACCCCTAACTCGTGAAGGTACAAAGACTATTTCCGATAGACACTCAGCTCAAGTAAAAAACATAAAAAAAAAAAAACAAGTGCGTAAAACAAATACAAAGTTACCATTTTTACAATTTCCTTAAAAATGGGGTTAACAAATCTTGCTTACTGATCTCAACCATAAACCTCCAACATCAAAATTACAAATATGTATATTTTTTTAAAAAAAAACCTCTACTCTCCTATAAATATTAAAACAAAATGAATCAAATTAAGACTAAACTATCAACAATGCTGCTGACATTCAATGTGAAAACTGAAAAATCCATTCTTGACATAGAAAAAAACTCTCAAAAAATGTAAATAAAATTCTTAATTAAACCCTTTTCGTTACCAAAAACACCCTAATCTCCATTTCTACGATCATCCATTTGAATTTATTTTTTTAAAATCTTCAAATTTAACTGTTAAAACCCAATAAAATCAAATAAATGGGCATTAAAAGAATCGTAAATGAGAAAAATAAAACTAGGGTTTGAGAGATTTACAGGTTCCGCCGATGGGTTTTCACGAAGAAGAAAGATAGATCTTCCTAAGAGATCGGGTTCAAGGTTTTCGATTTATTGGGGAAGAAATGTTACAAAATTTTGAAAATAAAATAAAATATGTGTTTTGCTTTGAAATTATGAAACAGAAAAAAAAATGAAAATGTCTTTTTTCTAACTTACTATATTATCCTTTGTGAATTATTCTCTCCGTCTCAAAATAAATTTTATTTTAGCTTATTTCACGTCGTTCCAAAATATAAATGTCTCCTTTCGTTTCATTTCATATTATTCGACTCATTTTGAGTTGATATAACTTTTAAGAGAACTTTTACTATTAGAGATGTATTTTTATTAATTTAAAACTTATTAATAATAGTATTTTATGAGGTTATTTATTATTAAAGGTAAAAGAAAAAAAATATAATAAAATCTTCTTGATTTTTTAAATTATCGAGTAAACTGAAATATTTATTTTTGATATAGGGTCATCTAAGAAATGAAGGGAGTAAATATAAGGTAAGTTTATTAAAGTTATCCTTGTTTATTCGATATATCTCGAAAATTAAGCGCTATAAGAAAAAGTGTTCTTTAGTATATATATATATATATATAGACTCTTTTTCTTTGGATAGTTTAATAAAATTTGCTACTGAAATATTAATGCAATATTATAGTGCTTAATTGATAAACATGGGAGAAACTATCAAAATCTTGATTTTGTCAAATTAATGTTGAATAAGATATGGATGTATTCAACTTTGCATGACAATATTTATATATTTCCCCCCTTTTATAATAAAATGTATACATCAAATTAGACATCGAGCTAAAAATATTTTACTCTTTTATCTTTATGGTGAGCCTGCTATTATATTTTGCGAGTGTTTTATGTGTAATTTTTTATAAGTTTTTTTTAACTATGTTGCTCGAAGTCTTTAAAAATGTCATGGATACGTATCGAACTCTCTAGATATAGTGTATTTTTTAAAGATCCGAAAAAGATACGACTAGTAAGATAATGATCTTTTTTTTTTTTTTTACCGTGGTTTCCGGGCGTCGCTTTGCGAACCCGACTAGCTGTACCCACCGGGTCCCGCTGTTTCAAGGCGGGTCCACCACGGTTAGTTCCACGGGGCCCTGGAGACGCGGCCGGTTTGTAATGCCTCCAGTGGCCCTGCTGGGGCTCGAACCGGCGACCTGAAGGACTTTGTCCCAGGCCTTTACCAGCTGAGCTACCCCTCAGGGTTAGATAATGATCTCATTATTTATGAACATGAGATGACATTATTATATTTGCCAACATGCTTCTTTCATGTTTTATCTTCCATAGCAGATGCATTTAATTAACTTATGTTAGGTAAACCATCTATATTTTTTGAAAGCAAAAGCACAATTTCTGGATTATTTTGAATAATAAAATAAAATTGTGTCATATGAGGTCTGCCCCACTCTGCTTAACATTGTACTTTTTTTTTGAGACTTTAACTGCCAAGTTTCCATGTTGGTGTTAGTTGGTAGGACTCTTTCACTCACTAGATTCGGATGTTAGTTTAACTTTTATGCATTGACAATGTATGTTATATTTCAATTGTCTTTCGTTGATTAAAAAGAAAAAAATAATGAGTTTATGTACCAAAAAAAGAAAAAAGAATACTCATTATTTGGTTTTTTGGACTCTCAAGCATGTTTAGTTTATAACAATTGATATCAGAACAGATCGAGCAATACTTGAGGCCGTGATTCAGAGTGTTGGTTAGGTGTTAAAAGACAAATACCAATAGATTTATGGGCCGAATGGGCTCTCCCACCTCATAGACTACTAGTGTTTTGGGTTGGACTCACCTATTCAGTCGGTAAGCCCAGCCAGTCCGACCCGACCCGACCCGACCCGACCCGACTCGACTCGATCCGATCCGACCTGACCTGACCTGACCTGACCTGAGATGTTTTAGTTACAAGGACATGTTGATTGAAACATGAGATTTTGTTGCAATGACATGATAATCTCAAACCGTATGATTTGAAGTCTAAAAAAAAAATTTGTAAGAAAATGAAAACTATTAATGATCAAACTTCAAAAGGCAATGTTAAAAATTTGTGAGTGAATTTTTTGTTTGATTGATAACAAAGAGGATACAGAAAGCCACTTTTGGCTGCAACAAAATAATGTAACATGGAAAATAAAAAGAATTGTAATTTGTAATCAGAATCTTGCACAATGTGATGGTAAACCTGTATCGTGGTGAACGGATACTATCTCCGTTGGACTGCATTGTAGTACGTCTGTTCCGAGTTTTGCTCCTGCTGTCTTTAAGCCTTTTAATGAAACAGGTTGATTGAAGAGATTCAACGAAGGTAACTTCGAAGCTTGAGGCATTTTCCCATTAGGTAAGTGGTTCTTGAAGTCTTCTTTGATCAATGGCACCTCAAAATCTGCCTTGTTATGTTTAACTACATTGTTCTTAGCTGCTATGTGAGCTCCTGGTTCCATATGGTTTGTTGAAAAGCTCATTTGATTTGGAAAGTTCGGATAAAGGCTAACGTATCCTCTTAAGTACATCATGTCTATCAAGAACTTCTTCCAAGAAGCTTGCCATCCATTAGTTCTTGATTTTGGTATCTGTACTGGATTTTGCTTTGGATCTTCCGTGAATCTCATGTTCATGTAGACGTAGAATTCCTTCCATTGCTTGGGGAAAAACACCGCGCCCCAACTGCAAGGCAGCTGATGGAGATATGGTGTGTTTGGATGAATGTGTTTGAAGAAGTCAGTTGCATTCCATTTAGGCCTTTCTTTAACAACTTCCACCAAACGTGGCGTGTAAAGAGAGATGGAGGAGAGCTCAGGGAGTGATATTTGAGGGTCATAGTGGTAGGCCAACAGAGCATATTTGATCCATAGGTAATAGTATGGGGAGACTTCGATGTCATCTTCGAGTAACAGACCAAAATCATCATCCGATGAGGGGTACCAACTCTCACTAACAGCTCGAATTAGGCCTCCTTGGATGATCCTTCTTCGAAGAGTTTTGGTTCCGTGAGGCCAATTGAATGAGTTAACAAGCTTTATAGTTGCCTCATCTACCTTACTATCCATGTTGAAAGTTATAGGAACTTGATCACCTATGTAGTACGCGTCACTCAGCGCCTTGAGAAGCCTTGCTAGTGAATTAGCTCTGTTCTGTGTGATGATGTTTATAGAAAGCGTCATACGGTTCCAATCTGCAGCAAGTACAAATTGCATTGTTCAGACTATAGATCAAATATAACAACAGCCACATACCCAGTCTAGTCCCACAACGTAAGGTCTGGGGAGGATAAAATGTACGCAGACCTTACTCCTACCTTAGAGGTGACGGAAGTACTAGAAACAACAGATAATAACAGATCATATGTTAAATCGAGGTACAAGGGAAATGTAAGGTGTAAGGTTCATCGATATCTTACTTGGCAATGCTGTGGAACGAAGATCAGCCATCCAAAGAACCTTAGTGACAGATGATCTAGGTAGAAGAACCAATTTTGAACTGTTTGTGTTAGTTTCTACAGCCATCTTGAGTGCTTTCATCACATTAGAATCTGCATCAGCTACTGTGATCACGAGGCTCGGGTTGTGAATCTTGATTAGTCCTTTCATGCTGGCATAGACTGCTTGAACGACGGGGACTTCTGAATTCGATATCCCAGATAATGCCCCAACTCCTAAATCCATAATCTTGAACCTCCTTTCTGTGCATACTACTTTAGGCCATTTCAAAGCTGCAGCAGCATCTTCACAAGGGCAGAAACTGCCTCCTGAGACAACAATGTAGGCCTTTTTTCCAACTGTTGACCTGAACTTCTCAAGAAGAGGCGCGAGAGCTTTAACTTCATCGACAGAATGGGTGTAGAAAAGTACATCAATCTTCTGAGGATTCATTGCTGCCCATTGCGTTATGTAACCAGTAGAGAGTGCTTTCCACCACTGATCATCTCGGACTTGAACCGTGTCCTTGAATATAACAGTGGTTTCGGATACATAAGCAAGTCTGTGCTCACTGTCACCCCATGTTTCTTTGTCATTTGGATCAACTGGTAGCACAAATGAACCAGCATTTCTGTACTTCTGAAGCTGATAGCTGCATTTTTTTTCCCACGAAAGTAAAATTCTTAGAAACTTCAAACACGTAACTGCAAGGCATAATACATAAACAGACACTCAAACTTGGCCTCAACTGACAAGTAAACACTCCAACTGTGATTACACACATCTAGACACCTCAACTCGTCTTCACTGTGTCAGCCGAACACTCCAACTTACCAAAATTTATGTGTCACGTCAGCATGGGGTATCCACGAGACACAATGAGGACGAGTTGGACTGTTATAAATTATGTCACTCTGATCATACTATATCTATCTACAAGCAAATTGTATTGTACTTATCTATCATCAAGTTGAACTAATAAAAGAAGTAACACAGATAGATCATTTCTAACATAATTGAAGTAGAAAGCATTACCTTAAGTGCAAGTCTTCTCCTGTCATGAAAGTGAAGGGCGTCTCGATGAAAAGTGTCTTGACAAGTTCAGCAGAAAGAAACCAAGAACTCGATAGGAAATCCGCTTGAACAATTCTATCCACAGTGATATTATAAGCAGGATCAGGCAAATAAAGCCCTGCCTCCTTGGATCGAAACTTCCTATAGCTCGGAAAAATGAAATCTTTCTGTCTAAAAGGCAAAATCCTACCAATACTTCCCAAAACAGAATTCATATACTTGTCTGTTCCTGCAACATGTGCTAAAATCTGCAACATCTTCTTCCCTGGGATCATGTCATCGTCTACGATATACACAAGATCAGCTTCTGTTTGCAAAGCCATTTGAAACCTTCCATAGTACTTAAAATCATAAGATGAACTTATAAAACTTATACGCGAGTCATTGTAACTATCTACAATCCTCTTGAGTGATTCCTCATTAGGACTTCCAAACGCGACAACCCAAACATGATGAAATTGAAGTGTTTGTCCAAGTAAAGAATCAATCTGAGAACACAGTGTTTTCCTCTTGAAATGATTCAATATCACAGTGATTTTCGGCTTGTTTGGACCGCGTAAATCCCATTTAGACTTCATTAACATCAACTCAGAAAGTGTCTCAGTACCACCAAGATTCTTGATCTGAAAATCCCTCAATTCTTGATACAACTCTGTCTTCAACTTAATCATAAGTGCATCATTAGACTTCTTCTGTTCAAAATCAATCTTCTCATGTTCACAAACATCAACAATTGATTTTGACTCAACAACATGACTAACAACATGTGGAGGTATAATGAAGTGTTTCCACGACTGAGCGATACGCGTAGCCCAAGTAAAATCTGGTTTACTACTTAAATCTATTGATGGACTCATGTAATACAGAAGAAATGTTGCATAAACAGCAAAAGAAAACTGTAAACAAGTTAATATTGTCACAACTTTAGTTGAAGAACCTTTTTGTGATCTCATTTTTGCTGCTTTTCCTCCCATATAGTCACTCAACATTCCTTCTAAAGAATCTCCACTTCTTATATTAGGATTTCTAGCTAACCCCATCTCATATATGGAGCCAAATCCACCTACAAAAATGTCAAAAAAAATTAAAATTAAAAACCAAACACTTAAACTCAAAGACTACAAATACAACGACATAGCCAAGATTTTCACTAAGGGGTTCAATGTCTGCTATATATATATGTACATAAAAGATAACTTTAACTATGTCTGAACAGTATAATTTTCTGTCGAAGGGATACATATAACAATCAAGTAAAGATCAAATCTTGAAAGAACACATTATTTTCAGCATATATATACAGTAAATATATACTATGAAAAGTACTATACATATAAGCTCTATGTACACCAATATTTTCGACAAACTCAAAATCTTGAAACTCGTTAAGTTAAAATTCTAGAACTGCCTTTGTTGATACTTAACCCAAACTATACATTTATACCACACAATTTCAATCTATGATTGTAAGAACACATTATTTTTCAACATAGACTATAAATATATACGTGAAAAACTCCGTAAAGTAGTATGCATATAAGTTCTACACCAATATTTTCGAAAAACTAAGAATCTTGAACTCGTTAAGTTAAAATTCTGGAACTCCTCTATTGATACTTAACCAAAACTACACACTTACCAAACAATATGTCAATAGTTCAAACAAAGGTTTTATGATTGAAAAAACAACACATTATTTTCAACATAGACTATAAATATATACGTGAAAAACTCCGAAAAGTAGTATGAACACAAGTTACATTCTACACCAATATTTTCAAAGACCTCAGAATCTTGAAACTCGTTAAGTTAAAATTCTGAAACTGCCTTTATTGATATTTATCCAAAACTACAACACTTACCACACAATATATGTCAATAGTTGATCAAACAAGGTTGTTCTATGATTGAAAATGAGCTACTAAAAAGTGTTATGACTTTTTTTTTTTTTTTTTGGTATTGGAATTTGTAGAGCAATGGATCTTGTGCAAAAACTATATAGTATATATATAGGACATTTATTAAAAGTATATATGTGAAAAGTAATAAAGTTGGAATTGAAGGAAGCCATGAGAAATGAGGCAAGATCACATGGGGTTAACGGTTTAAAGGTAATATTATAATTATACTATATGCTTTCTTACACATACAATCACTCAATTCATTAATTAAAAACTCCGGTTTTTTAGCCTTATAAGAAGGCCTCCTAATGCGTTTTCAACACTCCAAATCTAATCTGTGTACCTAAGAGAGTCTTATAATATCAGTTTTCCATAAGTTTCATATTTTAACTATCTGAATTATCAGTGTATCATCATGCAGAGGCGTATTCAGGATTTTAAGATGATAGGTGCACTATTACGAACAAGTGGATCTAAGATATAAAGTTGATCGGTTTAAAATTTAGGTTTTTATCACTAAAAATAATTAAAATTTAAAAATTATAGGTCCAAAATTATTTTTACCTATCCAAACCACTTAGAGAGGCGTTATCCAAATTTAGAAAGGAAAATAAAACGAGAGAAATAAAAAATTCAAATTTCTAATTTCACTTAGAGAGGTGCACCCTACGATAATCACATTGTATGATACTTCAACTATGGGTTTACATATCTATATTTAAATATTTTCAAAAAAAATATAACACTACCATATATGATTTCAGGAGGGGAGCATGGATTCACGTGAGCCCGGTGAGCTCCTCCTAGATACGCCTCTGTCACCATGTATGTATTAAAACACATTTCGATATTGATTAGGCGGCCACATATACTCTGAAGCCGATTATATAGTCTAATTATCAGCTATTTCGTAATTTTTCTACATGAACTGTCTATGTATTAATTTAAACATACTTTGAAGTTCATTAGTCCAATTATCCGTTGTTCATTTTTCCTATCTGGACTATCACCATCTATGTATTGATTAAAAAATTAAAACACACCTCAAAACTAATTAGTCCAACTATCGATTGTTCCCTTCATTTACCTGGATTGTCACCATCTACTCAACTAGGTATGTTTTAAATATAGATAGTGATAGTTTATATGAAAAAAAAGGAGAAGAACAATAACTGATAGTTAATATGTGAATAAACTCGCAAAAAAGTAATGGTTATGTTTTTGACCATTATTATAGTTAGTACTAGTAGTAAATTATAACATTGTTCTTCAAAAACATCAGTAAACAATTAATTTGTCACTAGATAATTTTTATTTTATCATTTTCTTTTTATAATATAAGAAATACAATCTGAAAACGGATTACTTTAGGGAGGAAAAGTATTTAAATTATCAAATTTTAGAAAGAGAAAAAACGTTGAAATTAGGATATTACTCAAAGTTGTTGATCACATGAATTTTTTAAATAGTACTCCATCATTATTCAGGTACATAGTATATTTCACTTGCAAAAAACTCAAAGAATCACACAATTTCCAAAATGTTAAAACCACTCACAATCTCAAATTGTCAAACCCAACTTCAAAGAAATAATTTAAAAAAAACAGACAGTTCGATGTACAAAACATTCCATAATTCATGCAGGGTTGAAAAATTAAAGTCGCAGTATACTCCGTATAGATAGCATACTCTAATGCAAATATTAGTAATACTTTTCACGACTCAAACTCATACTTTATAAGTCACAAGGACACAATTTTACCGTTCTTTTGAAGACACTTCTTTTAAATTTGCAATAATCACTATATTAAAAAAAAAGTATAAATATATAGTGATGAATTATAATTTTTATTGCTGAACAATAAAAAATTCGACGCTAATCCTTCCCTTTTTAACGAAGAATTATCAAAGAATCATGTTAGATATGAATTATTCACCGACATATATATTATCATCTTTCATTACAATTTATGTAAATCTATTTGACTGGGCGCACAAGTTTTTTTTTTTTTAAAAGGAAGAACGTTTGAAATTTGTAATGTTATAATATAAGCATGCAAGTCACTAATATATTTATTCAATCTCGATATTATAATATTCTTATCATTCTAATTCTGAAACAATTTTTTCTCATCCAAACGACACTTAAAATGAGACGGAGAAAATAATAAATACTAAGAATACGTGTATACATTACCTTGGGAATGAAGAAAAATGAAAATATTTGAGAGCCTTTTCTTCTTGAGCAAATTAAGCTCACACCAAAAAATGTCAAAAAAAAATTGTGATTGGACAAAAATAGATTGAGTATGAAGAATTTATAGTGAAATAAAAAAGTTGGCCTATGTTGACCTTTTAATAATAATTAGTATGAACATACATATTATGTATAATATATAGTAGTATACATTTTAATTTTTGAGTGGATGAATATTGCAACAATACTTCATGTTATTGCTTTTTTGCCTAACTTTTGGAACAAGTTGAATGCTTGATTAATTTGCTTACATTTGTGACATATTTTTATAAAGTTTATCTTCGAGGAAATTGCATATATGCAGCCAATATAATGGTTCTGAAAATTTGTAATTTAGGAAAATCAATCACCTAAAAAAAATAGAAAAAAATCAACCTCCGGAGATCGATCGATTTCTTTAGTGTCTGAAATTCGAAAAATACAAATCGACATCTAGAGATCAGTTTCTTTTTTGTAGTGATTGTTTTAATAACTTATAAGTGACGAAAATTTTACGCATGAAACGGTGCATGACAAAAAGACAAACGCAAATTAAGTGAAACTTTAATTAAGGATTTGTTTTTGTCATTAATTCATTTAAAAGTTAGGTGAATATTTACATGAAAATAAGGTTTATGTCTCTTGTCTTTTTTTTTTTCTCTCGAAATGATTAACATATACTGAAGCAAAAAAATGAACTTTCATTTAATTGCAATAATAAACAAAGGAATAAAAACAGTGAAAATTAAATTTGTTTGTGAAATTAATAATTAATGCATGCTGGAAAAAGTCAACGTAAAATAGATAAAACTAAAAATGTGTTGGTCAACGATTAGATCTATAATTATATTTTTTCTTAAGCTAAAAAAAAATAAAAAAATAAGTTACGTAGAACCTCTAGTAATTGGAAAATGGTTTTAATTTATATAACTAAGAGTGCAATTTTTTTTGGTCGGGCACCTAAAAATAATTACTATTTTGAAAAATAAGACAAACGTATTACATGCTATGACATGTTAAACTAGACTAATAACGTTAAAAAAAATAATTACGCTATCAGTGCGGTTCTAGCAAGAACGACTCCTCAATAAAGGAGTATTTCATTTGTGTTTGTGTTGACGATTTCTAATTTGAATACGCCGAGTTATGCCCCTTTCCAACGATAGACATATTGTCCTCTTCAGATATAATCTATATTTTTACGAAATACAATAACTATTTTTATTACTTCTGAATAAACAGGTAACTACACATAAATTTATAAAATCAATTTCTAACATTTAAAAATAATTCTCAACACATAATTTTTATTTTAATCAGCTAATTCAAACAGATTCTCGCGTCGAATCATTTCCTCAAAAAATTATATTGACTTCCAAAGTGCTTTATTTGGTATTTTTTGTTGTATAGTGTATAGAAGTACATGATTGACTCTTGAGAAAGATTTTAGGGTTTGACCCTATATAGAATATAGAAAAAAATAAATGAAAAAATATTATTAATTATTTTTTAGTGTAGATTTTTTTTATTATTATATAAAAGGATGCCATAATTCCCTAATCATAATTAAGTGGGCGGTAGGTACATGTGAAGAGATCCATTCTCTACGTACAATTTCATGATCAATGTGAAACTCTAATTATTATCAAATGGATTTGACTTATATACGTGATAGATTAATAGTGTAAAATTTTTACACTACCGGTATATATAAATTAACATGTTATAATATGTAGTTTTTTTTTTTTTTTTTTGGATTAATAACTCATATTTGAAGGTATAATTTTTGTAGTTTTGTTATTTTATGCCTATATCTAGAGTTTGATGCAATTTATAATGTATAGTTTCTGCTACTTTTTATCTATGAAAATTCATTTACATTATCAGTGTAACAATAACAATA